GGAGAAAAACTTGAGTAATAGAAGCAGATGGAGGATATTAGGAGGATTAGATGGAATTAGCGAATGACGGGAGGAGGAAGAAGGAGAAGGAGGATGAGGACAAAGTGTATTTGCTGAAGTCAAATCGCAAAACGACGTGAGAATGTACGAAGTGAATTTGAGAGAGAAGTAGAGAGTGAGAGAGTGAGAGAGAGACACGTCTTAACTCCAGCAATGCACACAGTAAAGTGAAGAATACTTGCTTAACCAGTCTTCAAATTACAATATAGGATGACATTTTGAGGTCACCTATTCGTTTCGATTATTAATGGCTTCATGCCCTAGTTCACTCGGTAACTAAGAGCATTATTAAAGAAAAATAAACTTGACCTCAAGTTTTATGACCTTACTTTGTCCTCTGTTGACAACTATCGGTTGACATCTGCACAGTAGAAATGAGTACAACCTATAATCAAATGGACAACTTTTTAAGAAGTGTGCATATTAATAATTTAATCCAATCAATTTGAATTTTTAGAGTAGATTCAGTACTTCTAAAAAATTGACTTCTTTCAGCTAACCTACTTACCAACTCGAAATCAAGACAATTAAATTGAGATTCGTTAATTACGAATGTAGTGGCATTGAGTGCACGTCTCCTCGAGGTACTAATATTAAAAGTAATCAATGCGATTAAAGCTCACCATAATGAATGCTCGTAATTAAGAAACACCAAAAGGGCTTTGTTTACCACACCACCACGAGGAATCGCACTTGGTTGAACTATGCCGCGATCATGAGGTGCGCTGATGAATCGCAGCCACGTGTAATATTATAAAACAGGCGGGAACATGACACTCCACTCTACACCAACACTGGAGGGAGAGCACCATGCCACTGCCACCAACTGCCGCAAAAACAAAGTAACAAGACGTCTCATCTAAATATCCTCAGTACAACTCACCAACGCGCCGCGCCGCGCCGCACCACACCACACAACACGCACAATCTCCTTCCTCCTACTCCTCCACCTCCTTCTCCTCATTGCCTCCCATATCATCATCCACCTGCCATATTGCCGCCGTCTTCTTCTTCTTCACTCACCGCATTCCTACAATATGCGCACAAAACATCCTTCCTATCACATACTGACCCACGGTGGCGACTCACCTCCGCCCACCGACCAGGTCGCAACAGCTCTCACAAAAAAAAACACCTTCCGCCTCCACTACATGCAACACTACGGCCATGTCTAATTGACTTAGCATTGCTATCGTGCCAGTCTTTTCAGGTATATAGGAAAGGCCAATCGAACTAACACACTGGGGCATAACTTATGTTGCTTGTCGAATAGAGGCCGGAGGCGAATAACTCAAAACTCTTTTTTGCTCTAATTTTTTGGCTAAACTGATTTTAAACTGCTCAAGTGTTGACTTATATATACTTAGAGCTTAAACATGGGAGGTCTGAAACCTGTTCCTGTATTCGACGTTGGTATGACCTTACATCAACCATTTACTATCTCTTCTGATCTATGTCATCTCATTGGCATTTCAGCAATTAGGGGTGCACTCTAATGAAACCCTAACCCTACGTGGCACGAATGTGGGAAGTGATTGGTTGTCGCCCCCTTAACTATGCTAGCGCGCAGGTGATTTCTTGTACATCACGAAAGTGAAGATGCATTAAAGATTAGTCCCGAGAGGCTTTCTATATTTTTGGTATGGAGAATTGTTCCGATTCAAGAATCTACATACAACGAAGTATCAACCGAAATGATAGGATGAGGGGAGCCAAGAAAGGGAAAAGTGAACTGCTTATGGCATATGCACGCTGATAGTTTATTAACCCAGGGGGTTCCAGGAGTCTAGATGAGGTGTCGTCATTCTAGTTTCCTTTTAGCATCATCACCTAACTTGATGAAGAAAATTCAAAACCATTGGAGACCAAGTGGAGTCTATTCACAATGGATCTACATGTATGATTCCTTCGGGACTCAATGAGAGAGACCGAAGTCGTCTGCAATCCACGGCTGCTGATTAGTATGACGCCACGATGGTCCGAGGTAGGTGATCGAGATGAGTATTGACAACGATTAATATTATTACTTTGGCTCTCACCTCAGAAACTTACCAAAACTACTCGAGTTATTGATTCCCCATGTTGTACAAGCACTATCCTAGCGTTAATGTCTCTCCAAGTGGAAATGATAAAAGAAAATTGATTCTTTAAATTCAATCAGGGAGGCAATAAAGTCCTCCCCCCCCCCCAACAATCTAAATGATAAAAGAAATAAGGCTAAATACAAGCACAATTACTTCATTGAATATAACATATACACACGTGGACAGGAATTATGCACTGAGAAAACAGAAAAATGAGAAAGTTACAAGCATGAAATTGCAGTGACAACTCCTCATTGCACTGTGCCATCAACAGTCATCTCTGTCTCCGGTGATGGAGGTAGGATCAATGCACTCGAATCCAACCCCAAAGCACGACGAACCGGCGCACGGGAAAGGAGTATATCCCCTGGACCCTTAGTCACCTTGCCTATCAAATCAACAAGGGTACTTGCCAACTCCGTAGCAGTACGCATCTCTCTTTGGCTAGGCCTCAGAGTGCGCTCTTCTGCAAGAGAAGCAGGAGAAAAATCTCCCAGGCGTCGTTGCTGTGAGTTGTAGAGATCACGAAGTAATTTGGAGGACTTGACTAATAGTTCAACATTCTTCACTTCTTCTGCACTGTTCAACTCTGTTGTCTTCTCATCATTCACCTTAGGGACTTCCTGATCAGCTGATGATTCGTCTAAAATAATAGAAGCAACCAACTGAATAAGCAACCCATGTCAAACACCAACAAAAAAGTTATGAAAATATTTTGACAATCTTCTCAGCATCTGAATGTTCCGAATAGGGGGTAGTATTTTCACAGTGGAGGATGAATATAAAGGAAAAAAATTAACGAAAATAAGTCTTTTGGCACCAAATAAAAACCGAGATGGAAATCGATAATCGCACAAGGACGCATCAAATACAAAGCAAAAAACAATACACATACGCATTAACAGAAACTAATATTCTCTTTAATTTACAAGATTAAACTTAAGATAGACATAAAAATTGTGTCATGAGTTCGAGAAATTTCGCCAAACTCTAGAGGTCTAATGAGGTAAGTACAATGTTAAATTTCAGGGAGTCCAACACTGAACACGCCAACAACCAAAATTATTATTATTAGTAATATTTAATAAGGACTTCCATTGCTTCAAACTCGTTAATTATGTGCAGCGATGGCTCCGTGATCAGCACCCAGATCCCGAGAGTCAGAAGTCAACAGATCGATGGTCATTAGCATACACTCATCCACATCAGTGGATGATCAGCTACATTGAATAGTAATTGTTAAATAGAAAATATATTAATGAAATTGGGGGGGGGGGTGTGCGTTAGACTTACCTCCACGTGGTGCACCCTGGGCAACGTATACTCATACGGCAAAAAGGTATTTCAACTGGCAGTTGACTTCTGACCCTACTGTATGTCATATTCGACTACTTCCACAGTACCCACATCACATTTTTTCTAAATTTTCTACCTTCGTATTTGAAACACTCTTCTGTTCCCTTCCCCCCTATCTCGACTTTTTTCACTTTGATGGTCTACCCCCTATGTGAAGCCTGAAGTTAACTAAAGGGCTAATGATAACCATCAAACGCCTGCCATTTGATATAAATAAATAATGAAATTGGATCTTTATTTTATTGTCTTCCTATTAATGTCGAAAATAACAACCAATTCTAAAGTTGTTTATGTGTACTAATATAAGTTAAGCTGTACTTAAATACGTTCCAGTTGAACTGGATTACATCATCGCTAATAACAACGAAAACTTGCGCTTTCCTTGTAGGTCGCAGGAGTACTAATCAACAAGAGGGATATTCGAATGGGGACGTCTTCCCTCTAAACATAAACGTACTAAAACAACTCACTCACTACAACTAATAAACAAATTAGAGACAACTAGTCCAAAAATTTTCAATATGTTGGATCATCTTAACAATCGGAGGCTATGGAAAGCCATCTCTAACTAAAATTTATCTACAACTTTTCAAACGGGTTTGAAAATCCCTACTGAATGCAAACTTCACTTTGAATCACCAACACTTACCGACAGTTTTGACTACAGCACCTGCGGTATTATCATCATTCTCTTTATTTTTTTCAACCGGTAGATTTCTTGTGATTGCATTAGCCAAATAAAGATTGAAATCTCCATCAGGATGATCACCAAACACAACGGTGGGAATAACCTCGTCAAGAATTTTCGATGCTTCGTTCGACTCCTTCCATTCTGCTACACATTCGGATAAGGCTGCTTGTAGCTCTTCATCCTGTTCAGCCTCCGGGACGCAACGCAATCGGCTCCAAGGGCAATCATCTGATTCATCCTCTCTCTCCTTTAAAGAATCGCCTTCTATAGACTCCAAAGAGTACAGCATTCTTCCAGGAAGCCATGTTGTGGAAAGAAGAAGTTGATTAGCCTCGGGACTACAATTGGATGCTCCACTATCAAAACTCGGACCAAAAGTAGAATAAGGACCATAGTTGAGATAAGTGTACGGAATCACCCGATTACGTCTATCCTCACGGTAACCACCGTTTGGAGAAAGGTAAGTACCAAAATGCAGAGGACCAACCTGAAATAAATTGAGGCATCAATTAATTCAAGTATTAATGAGACGCGCATAATACTTTGGATACTACCTCTTCACCGATAGTTCGAACGCGTTCCGTGGCACTGACAAGACCCTTATTATCAGGATTAAGCAAACCGAGAGCAGTTACTTCTTGGGTATCATCAACCGACTGATAGAGTGGTTCATGCATTAGCGACGATTCCATTCCAATGCTATCATACCATCGCTTAGCGATGAGTAAGAGCCGGTTTGCTTCAGAACAAACAGCTGACCAACCTTCAAGAGGCCTAGCCGGTGGGTTTGAGTAGGTCTGTTCGGTGTCGTTTTGAAATGAGGAGAAGAATTCTTCTACATATTCACGAAGATGGGCCAGATTTTTCACTTTATTAGTATGAATATAGCGCTCCAAAGTGCGTAAACACATTTTAGTTAATTTATTGTCGTTATTCGGCTAAAGGAAAACAAGATATAAATAAACTAGAAACAGGAGTTAACTTTCTGACGTAAAATTCTTACTCTTTTGAGAACAAAATGAAAGAATCCGTTAACATCTTGTTGCAGAAGGATTGCTATTAATTCCAGACATGCTTCTTTAGCTCTTGATAACTGGCCCCTTGATCGCTTATGCAGAGGAACCGGGTGAATGACGTAGCTACCTTCATCAAGTATTTTACGTTTTAGCACATTTTCCATGCTAGCACAATTAGAAGGTGGAGCGTCAAGAAGCGACTCCAAGGTAATATTTTTGTCAATCGGTTCCTCTAACTTCGAATCTTTGCTTTTCTCCATGGAACTAAACACAGGCCAGATTTGGGGAGATTCTGATGCAATAAAATAATACACATTAAGATGTTTTACAAAATTTTAGCGTACGTATAAAATATAGACACCCTGCAACACTGAAGCAGATAAGCATTTAATTTTTAAAGGATATTAATTTTATCAGCCAGAATATAATATACGTCAATTAAAAAAACTAAAACAAACTAAACCACCGCACAAGAAATAAACTTAGGGAAATTTCTACATACCGACTTGAAAAGATCGCCAAATATTAGATGATAAAACACATTTTAGTAAAAAGATATTGAATTAAGTACAAATTAATACCGTTTATTAAAAATATTAACGAAACTATTAATGCAAATTTTAAACATGAATTTGACATTTTGAAATGTTACCAAATGATAAATGTCATTTTCAAATAGCAAAATATTGTAGCATATTCAAGATAACGCATTACTAGCACCGAAACTTCAAAAGTAATGCATTGAAATTTTTATTTTAGCCTCAGATAACTTATATATTTTTTTAAATTTATGTTTTTAGATAAGCATATTTATTGTCGATAATTACACCAAATAACAGTATAAAATCCATAGCTCATTGGTTTTGAAATGCTTTTGTTATCTAAAATGCCAAAATTTATTTATTTGTAAATTATCTATATTTATTATAAATTATAAAGCACAATGGGTATATGATATTTTTATTATGACAAAGGTGTATGAAAACTAGTAATATGACACTAGATCGTGCAAGTGGTCGATAAGTTATTCTGGAAGTTAAGATCGCTTAATAATTCAGTTTCCCTAATTAAATGTTATGTGAGAAAAACATTACTTTGTTAAACAACCGAGCGGAATTTAAGTCGATTAAAATTGAGTAACAAAGTGAAACCTAGCTACATTTTTCAGATGAACTCTCTGTAACTCTTAATGTTAATGAAAGGAGATTGAGAAAACAGTCTATCTTCGACTTTGTACATTTGCCCTTTTATATTTGAATTTATTTTCTTTAAAGCAATTATAACATTCTGAAATGCTATATGAGTGTAATTATTGAATATAATGATTAATTTAAGCCAAATAAAATAAATCAGCAGATCATGGAATGTTTATAAAAAGATTTCAATATATATTTAACTTTGCTAAATACCATAACTTAAATGAAATGTCTAATATCAATGCCGTTGCGTTTTATTGCTGAAATTCAAATTTGTAGCTATTCGTTATGCTAAATAGACTCTAGATGATAATGTCCAGATCTAAAAGTGACTAATTAATTCTATTGATTGGCATGTACATCTGCGAAATTCCTGATCACTGGTTACTTATTCATATATTGACACCCAGTGAGTCCAAAGCTCTTCTATGATGGCACACATAAACCAAGACGTGTATTGAAAACGAATTTGAATAAATAATATTACTGGGCATTACCAAAAACTTGATTATGCTTTTCAAACAAAAAATTTCAAAATAACATTTTAATTTTTGGTCTATTGATTCCCTCCTTTCATTGACACTCGATTCAACTTTGTAATTGACATTCTTCTTTCTAAATTATTTTCTTTCAACCCTTTGCTTCCCCATATCCTATTTCATTGCCCGAGTTAAAAATATGAGATTTTGCGGACAAATCCAAACGAAGATAAATTTATTATTTGGGCAGAGACTTAAGGAGGAAAGGAAGTCTCTTTGAAGCACCATCTCTGAAAATTCCATTCACGTAGCTGTGTGCTGTCAGGCTTGATGTCAAAAGTCGAGTGTTCCTCAACAAAATTTACCTATAAGTTATTATTACGTTCGTCGTTCATGCTCAGGACCTGATTGTGGACATAGGCTGAACAAAATTCTCGAGGACTACTCAAAACGGTAAGCATTCGATATGTTGCTCTGTTATGGCGGGAAATCACAGAATTCACAAATGGTATTGTTACAACAAGAATTGGTCAGTCAGTCATTTTTATTGAGGAAATGCAAGTGATGTGCTTTCCCAATTTGGAAGGTTTTTCACTAACAAATCGATGAATTGAGAGCCAACTATAGTGAATATAACCGAAGATCAAAATTGCAAATTTAGAGTCCCCTTTCGCTGCCTACTTTTATGATCAACAATCCAAAAGGTGGAAAAACATTAGTTTCCAATGTTTTTATCATAAATATGTTTCAGACAATTTCGAATTATATACAGAAAAATATAAACCATTTTTGCTTAAATTTACACTTTTGTGATAATTGATATTTTCAAGCATAATGGAGAAAGGTATTTAAAAATGTAATTATTAATTATGCTATGAAAAATATTTGACAATTTTATGAAATGATATTTTTCCTGATAATTTACCTATGGAACGTACAATAATCTTAGCTACTAACTTACTACCTTACCAATAGTTAATGAAACACCCAGAGAGTAACAGAAGAGTAAAAGCGTCTAAGTTGAGATAAATCAGGAGATTAAACGAAATATTCATTATTCATACATTTATTGGGTTGGTGAGGTATAGACAGGGAACTCAGTCATAACATACACTTTCTGACATGATAACCACGTAATGATTATGGCCATTGATTAGTCAAATAACCACGTACTGGATTTGACTGTTGATTGGTCGGCTAACCACGTATTGGTTCTGGTCATTGACCAATCGAAAGGATTCTGCTCTGGTCGTGTTAAAGCTATAGTCCTCATACACTTACGTGACTAATAAACTAACTAACTAACATGCTATTACAACAAAATTCAACAAATCAAACCACATGTTATAATTAAACGAATGTTATTGCTTCAGTATTAAGTTAAGCCAATTGGCTAACTCAACTGTTCAAGTTAATTTACCTAGAGACCACTCTTTATAACTGAACTTACTCTCAAGCAACACAACTTATAGGCGGATGAGTAAACCAAAAGGAATTCACTCTTTAACAATCCAAAACAAACGGTCATATCGCACTATGCTAACTGTCCGGAATAACAAAACCTAAAGATCGTTGTGCGATCTCCAATGCGACTTCTTTTAGTACTAAAAAAACAAGCCTACTCGTTGAACTTTATTCAAAAATTCGCATCAATTCCACTAATGCGCATTGTCCTGTACAATTACACTATTTGCGTTATTCAATTCGCGAAAATGCCTCCTCCATTGTTTCAGTACAGTGCTAATCCCTACAGAATCAAATGTGATTTTGTACGTGAACTTTAAATGAATAATATATACTAAGGCACGAAGGTTTTGAGCACTGAGGTATTGTGTGTCACGATAAAAATCTAAAATTGGGAGACGGTTTTCTACAACCACGTCTGTGCATTCTGTGCGAATGTCAAGCTGATGATGACAATTAGTTCACACATTGAGATTTTTCACTTCATTAATTATTTTATTACAGGGTTAGATTTGGAATTGTTGTAATCTGATAAAACAAACAGCAAATAAACCGTGCATTCTGTGAGAGTGATGAAAATCAAACTATCAGGTGCAATATTTTTATCAAGTGTCAGGCGTTCTGATAGCTACCATTAGCCCTTCAGCTGACTTCGGGCTTCACGGAAAGAGATGGAGCAACATCAAATTAGAAAAAATGTCGAGATGAGGGACAGAAAATGATTCGAAAAATCAGAGTGAAAAAATCCGAGAGATGGAGAAGAAGATAGATTAACAGATTTAGAGGAGACAGACAGACACAAAGGTAGAGAAAAGGTGAGATGAGTACTGAGGAAGGAGTCGAATATGACATACAGTCGGGTCATGGCAGTTTGAAGTGAGAAGTCAACTGCCAGTTAATAGACTCTTTTGCCGTATGAGTATACGTTGCCCAGGGTGCACCACGTGGCGGTAAGTCTATCGCACACCCCTTTCAGTTTCAATGTCAATTTCCATATACCAAAAATATAACATTCCAGACCAACTCCTCAAACAATAATAGACAGAAGGCATCCATCCAATGGAGTACTACAAGCTTTTCGTTTTCTCACAATCGACAGCATTGGAATGATGAGTAGCACGCCTTGTGATTGCATTGTCATTTGC